TTGAAACATGAGAAAACTCTCCCATTTCTTTTACCAAACACCCGTCAGATAAAATGTATTTTAGAAAGACGCCAAACACTCAATGAAAAATTAAGTATAAAATAGTTCACATACCACCGTCCATATACTCTTTGGCATCTTTCGGATCTCTGAAAGTTTTCTGAATGCCATTCACCTTGAAGACCAACACGGCAGGGAAGTTCATTTGGAAATGGATGCCACGCTTAATAAGTTCAGCGCAAATCGGGTTGAAGGCTCTCCTCGCAGCACGAACTGCAGGAGAGATGTCAGGAGCGATGCGGAGAAGCTGATCCTCGTATTTAAGTTGGCCTTTGCATCTAGCTGCAGACATATTTGTAGCGACGTCTCTGGAGCAATGAACCTTGATGATAACAGGACGAGGATGGCCATCTGTAGTCGTGCCAAACCCTCGGTGTGCGCGGTCAAGTGCAATACTCAAGACTGGCAGTTTGAGCAATTTTGGTATAAAAGTTTAAAAAAAATGTAAGGGATCACTTCCTTCGACGGACTCTCTGCGGTTTAAAATTCGAATATTGTCCCGTCTGGAACGCCCCTCCAGATCTGTGATCTTCTCAGTAAGTGTTGTATTAAGTTTCTCGAGTGCAGCCAGCTTCTTTTTTAGCGGAGCGACGTCATCTTCTATGGCGGAGATACGAGTTTCTGTTTCGGCCTGGCGAGTCGCAAAGAGCGGCAGCGACCTCCTCGATGCGTTTGATGATACTTTCAACTTTCACGTCCAGCCCAGACTCCAGTTTAGCGAAATAGTCATTCAGCATCTTTTGCGTATGCCGACCTTCCTCTGCAATGACTTCGGCAATGTGTTTAAGCAGAGCCCCGTGAGAAAAGTCAGGTAACGAGCTCTCATTGCTAACCGCATGATCGCTGCTAGCACTAGCCTCACTCGAATCAGTACAATCTTCCGTAAAACTTGGGAATGGTCCAGCTTGTTCTGTTTTGATGGCTTGGGCATGGTGAATTATCAGTAAAGCGACTAAATAATGACTTTGAGAAAGACAGGTGAAGGTAGATAATAAACAACAGGAACGTGAACTGGGAGAGGGAAAAGAAAAGCGACCGCTCACTCCGCCGCCATTACCGGAAGCCCGCTGTCAGTGGAGTCAAAAGATAATTACGTTATCATTAGGGTTGCCAATTAACTTCAGAAATGGAAAATAAGGGACAACTGTGATTCTTTATCTTTTATTCTTTAAAAGGGTCATATGATGTTGCTAAAAATAACATTATTTTGTGTATTTGGTGTAATGAAATGTGTTTATGCGGTTTAAGGTTAAAAAAAACAAATTATTTTCCACATACTGTACATTACACGACATGGCGGCGGCAACAACAATACTACAGCGAGAATAAAAGTTACGCCTTCTTTCTTTGCGTGAACATTTGGGCGGCGTTATGCAAATCTTCCCAGATAGTGACGTAGGTATGTGGGGGCGTGTTAGAACGAGCCGTTTTAGGTAGGTGTGGCTGACTCTTAACTTTTATAAAGAATATCTCTTTGGATTTGAGACTTTAGTCTTTGCAACTTTACAGCTCTTCTTTATGCACCAAGAGCTTGTAACACTCCAAAGAGAAAGGAAAAATTTAAATCGCATCATATGACCCTTTTAAGAAAATAGTGTTTATTCTTGTATTCTTGTAGAAAATTGGTGTTTATTCTTCAAGAAAATAAGGGACAGAATAAGGGATGCTCCAAATATTTGTACTGTACCATAAATGTAGGCTGTCTGCCTGCAGTTAAAAAGTTCTCAGAAATAATCACAATTGATTTGTTTAACCTATTTATGTACAATTGTTCTAAAAATAATTTTAATGTCATATAAAAAATGTCATCGACCTGTGTAAATTGTACCATTGTAGAACTGTGACTTCACAAGTATAGTAATTTAGGAGGTGAAAATACTGTGAAATTACATACAAATGGCATGCAATTTGAAAGCATAACAACTGAAGGTCTTAACATCAGTCAATAAAGCATTTTTTTTTTAAACAATGGCACTTAAAAGTTTTGAACTAAAATATTATTGCAACCATATAGCCTTTGAATTTAGAATAGATCTCAACAACATCACACACTGTGCTCAGATATTTCTCCTTAGCTAGAGACTCTGGAGGAGACAAATGTGAGAGATCCAAAGTTTCAAACAAGATCTCAACAGCATCACACACTGTGCTCAGTTTTTTGTCCTTAGCTAGACTCTGGATCTCTCACATTTGTCTCTTGTAAAGCTTTAGAAGATATCTCAAAAACATCACACACTGTGCTCAAATATTTATCCTTAGCTAGAGACTCTGGATCTCTCACATTTGTCTCTTTTAAAGCTTTAGAAGAGATCTCAACAACATCACACACTGTGCTTAGATTTTTCTCCTACACTAAAGACTCGAGAGCTCTACATTTGTCTCCTCTAAATTTCAGAAGTGATCTCAATAACAAAGTGTGCACCAAGTCAAATGCCTCAATATGAACTCAAATATTTCTACCATATAATATGTATTAATAATCAAATTAATCAATTAATAACCAAGACTGAGTCATAAGTCATTTATGTGCCTTTCAGCAAAGAAAGCTCCAAGGTTACATTTTCTCTAAATCAGTTTTGATTAAGGCATCTGGTACATTACTATTTCCAACAACAAATTACGTGCCTAAGTACATAAACATTGTCCTATAAAAAGTAACATTGTCCTTATTTCTGCATAATTTCTCTCTCAATATAGCCTTTAACTCTGAATTTATTTAAACCCCCCCCTTTATTTAGTGCCTTTCAAGTACTTGACTTGATGCACACTTTGTAAAGATGTTGAGATCTCTTCTAAAGCTTTACAGGAGACAAATATGAGATCCAAAGATTGTTTAGCTAAAGAGAAAAATCTAAGCACAGTGTGTGATGTTGTTGAGATCTCTAATCTAAACTTTTGAGGAGACAAATGTAAGAGATCCAGAGACTCTAGCTAAGGAGAAAAATCTGAGCACAGTGTGTGATGTTGTTGAGATCTCTTCTAAAGCTTTAAAAGAGACAAATGTGAGACCACCAGCGTATTTAACTAAGGAGAAATATCTGAGCACAGTGTGTGATTTTATTGAGATCTCTTCTAAAGCTTTAAAGGAGACAAATGTGAGAGATCCAGAGTCTCTAGCTAAGGAGAAATATCAGAGCACAGTGTGTGATGTTGTTGAGGTCTATTCTAAAGCTTTAAAAGAGACAAATTTGAGAGATCCAATGTCTGTAGCTAAGGAGAAAAATCTGAGTACAGTATGTGATGTTGTTGAGATCTCTTCTAAAACTTTAAAGGAGACAAATGTGAGACCACCAGAGTCTTTAGACTAGGATAAATATCTGAGCACAGTGTGTGATGTTGTTGAGATCTCTTTTAAAGCTTTAAAGGAGACCATTGTGAGAGTGTTAGAGATTTTGTCTCAGGAGACAAATTTGAGAAGCAGAAGACTCAATCAAAAATCTCCATTCGATCTTAAAGTAACCTCATTTCTGTCTAGGATAAATATTTGAGATGTTATAAAGATTTCACTTTTGATTTTTCTTTCCTATGGGGATGACCGAATATGAAATGTTGTCCCATTGTTTTATTGTTTTGAATGACATGCTCTCTGCCCATGCAAAAGCAAAATTCACTGCCTTTTTCATTAGACTGAAAGGCTTGACAGGTAGCAATTTGGAATTATGTGGCTTTCGGCACAAAACATTTTTGTCCTTGTAATACTACGTTGTCGATATGGATTTAACATTTTATTATTCAGTTCCTTGGTCAAATGGAACAGTAAGAAATAATTACACTTTTGAGACACTGACTGTAGCAGGTACAGACTGACTGAATCAGTGTGAAAAATTTGCAGTCCATAAAAGTAGGCAAGGCAGTGAGAATAAATGGAGAAGAGGCATTCAGTGAAACATAGGCTATAAAACACATTTTATAGTGTGCATGTAATATAACAAGAATGCTTCTGCGGTATCTCTTATCTATTCTGTTCAACAGCCATGTCCGTTCTACTTTTGCAGCTTAAGGAGCTGGTAGTAATTTTTGAAAGCTATGTGGAAGCGGTCTCGCTGTTCATGACCCACTGGTCATCATTCCAATCCAAGTTGAAAAGATCTCACTGAGCCCCATTGCATCCTGTATTTTTTGGAGTAATTGGGTGGGTACTGTGCACTGTGCACATGGTTGCAGTCAACCTTGGGTCCTTTCATTATTGTTGAATAAACATCCTGCGAATAATCAGCTTAGCCAATGGCAGGCTGGAAAATTGTAAGAGAAAGCTTGAAAAGTCCTCAGTGAGAGTGTAAAGCAAAATGTTTGGAAATTAGTTACACTGCTGAAAACTGACAGAGGCACCTGATTTTACCTGTCTGCATTGCTGTTTTGTGTTTTGTACGAGGTGTGCTGGTTCATACGGGACTAACAGATGCCAATATGACTAATATTCATAAAAACTTGTCATGATAGATG